TAAGTCTTGGTGGCCCAGTGGTTCGCGCACTTGCCGGGCAACTTTGAGGTCCCTGGTTCGACTCCCTGTCTAAGCTTTTTGAAAAATTCTTTTTTTGCTAAGGCAAACACTGTCTTTTCTATCATGTTAAGCATACGAAAGAGGTCTGTGAAGTCTAGACTGGCCTAACCCTAGCTGAAACCAAATCGTCCACTTTAACCCCTTTAGAGCCACTGGGGTATAAATTGTTTCGGGCCCATTTAAACCCCTGTGAGGTTCTTTTTTCCGGATCATTTTGTGTTGAGCAGATGCGCAACGAAGTGCTCTTTCATTTCATGTGCGGAAACCATAGCTTGGAACAAGCTTTAAGCCTTTCCTGAGCTAACCCTAATTGATTTTTCAAAACTAGGCTTAACCCCAACCTTAACACTAGGCTTAACTCTCACTAACCCTAAGTCTTGGTGGCCCAGTGGTTCGCGCACTTGCCGGGCAACTTTGAGGTCCCTGGTTCGACTCCCTGTCTAAGCTTTTTGAAAAATTCTTTTTTTGCTAAGGCAAACACTGTCTTTTCTATCATGTTAAGCATACGAAAGAGGTCTGTGAAGTCTAGACTGGCCTAACCCTAGCTGAAACCAAATCGTCCACTTTAACCCCTTTAGAGCAACTGGGGTATAAATTGTTTCGGGCCCATTTAAACCCCTGTGAGGTTCTTTTTTCCGGATCATTTTGTGTTGAGCAGATGCGCAACGAAGTGCTCTTTCATTTCATGTGCGGAAACCATAGCTTGGAACAAGCTTTAAGCCTTTCCTGAGCTAACCCTAATGGATTTTTCAAAACTAGGCTTAACCCCAACCTTAACACTAGGCTTAACCCTCACTAACCCTAAGTCTTGGTGGCCCAGTGGTTCGCGCACTTGCCGGGCAACTTTGAGGTCCCTGGTTCGACTCCCTGTCTAATCTTTTTGAAAAATTCTTTTTCTGCTAAGGCAAACACTGTCTTTTCTATCATGTTAAGCATACGAAAGAGGTCTGTGAAGTCTAGACTGGCCTAACCCTAGCTGAAACCAAATCGTCCACTTTAACCCCTTTAGAGCCACTGGGGTATAAATTGTTTCGGGCCCATTTAAACCCCTGTGAGGTTCTTTTTTCCGGACCATTTTGTGTTGAGCAGATGCGCAACGAAGTGCTCTTTCATTTCATGTGCGGAAACCATAGCTTGGAACAAGCTTTAAGCCTTTCCTGAGCTAACCCTAATTATGTGGCAAATGAATTAGTGGAGTGAGTCCAGATAACGTGGAAACAGATGGCAAATGAATTTCCAGTCTTTGTCCCTCTGAGCTCTTTCTATTTGCTATCTCTTCCCATGTTAAAACACGAAATTCAACCTTCTGTTTTTTTTCCAGAAATCTCGTTGAAAGCTTTCCAATATGTCGAATGAAAGCCCGACTAGACGAATCCTTTATGTCTCCTAAAAAATCAATATATGATGACCATGAAAAATTTTTTACTCGTCCGCTTGAGTTTGGCAGTTCACATCCTTCCGCCTTTAAGTCTCTCAATCATCTCACCAAATATTAAAGATAATGCAATTTCAGACATCAAATTCCAAATCTAGACCAAAAATTACTCAAAAATAGGCATGCAAAAAGGAGAGATTTGTAAAAATACCCTAGACTACATGCAAAAAGGAGAGATTTGTAAAAATACCCTAGACTACATTCGTATACAATCATTTGCATAAAATGTTTTTGTGGAGTGAGTCAGTCTTCCACAATGGACAACAAACTGTAGTTATTTCCCCTTACCTGTAACAACCATGAATGAAAAGTGCTTGTAAACGTTTTTTTCTTTCAATGAGTGTTAGCGTTCCTTGTTAGAGTTTAACACCGATGTTAGTGTTGTCAGGTGGGGATTAAGAGTAGAAATAACCACACCGAGGGTTCTATGGACTAGATGTTTATTATTAACATACAACAAAACCCCTTGTACAGGGGTTTTAAACTAATAAACCAATGGGAGGGAAAGTACCTAACCAGAGGTGAAGGATCTTGAACAAGATCAATCCAAATCCCAAGAATATATTGAAATAATATAAAACAAGGAAAAAACACTAAACTATACTATCCATTACAACATTGAAGAAGATTCAATGTAAATTATAAATATATTTCCCTACACCAATACCATCAGTCTCACAAAACTAATACTGAATGACAAAGTTGCCAACCAGAAAACACTATTCAAAAAGAGTTCAGAGCTAGGAAAAGATAATCTGAAGAGAACTCAGAGACAGAGAAAGATAAAGTAAAGGAATAGAAGCAGTGAAATGTGACTTAAAGTGATTATTAGTTAATAATGTGCTAATTAAACCATACTTGTACAAATAAACCATTTTATTTGTACACTTCAACATTAGCATAGAATTAAGATACTAACACCATAGTTGAATATTAAAGAAAAGAGAGTGTAAGACGAGCTTATTATAAATAATTGCTCGGATGTAAATTTGAACACAGAATCGATCTATGTTGTTTTTTTGATATTCTGAAATGATATAATCAAGCTTTACCTGAATTCAGTTCTTTGATGTTTCGTGGTAGCCACCATTCAGAAATATTATCACCTTGGTGTAAAGCATGGAGTTAACACAATTTCTTTTCGTGTTATAGGGTTACCGGTAATATCCAGCATGCGATTTCAAACGTTTCTTGAAAGCCTTTCTTTGAGGCAGAAAATGAAATTAGTGTGGTGTTGTAATATTCACTAGAGTGTAAATTACCTCTATATTTATTTTATTGTTGCTCAGTTGGTGTATGCGATGTTTGCCTTTTCTATATAATGTTGTCTGCTGGAGTTGGACATGGTTAATTGGTATCACTTATCATGAGTAAATTTAAGTAAAGTTGAATAGTCTTTTCCTATAGGTGGCAGTTTGGCTAGTTTCTTAGTTTTATGTTTTCAATAAGAAAGCAGCTAGAGTTTATTAGTTTGGCTTTGAAAAAAAGGATAGTGATATTTGATATTTATGGATTTAAAATTGTGTATAATCAAACCTCCTAGGAATTAGCTGGGGTTTGCTGCATTTCTTGGACACCCTCAGATCTGGCCATACGAAGCGTGTGCTGGAATATTATTCTGGTTGTAAGAGACTACAGTTAATGCCAAGATGAATAAATCCAGACGGTTATTTATCGACCAATCTTCTGACCTCTGTATGACTTCTATATAATTAGCATACCTGACTGATGTAGTGAAGATGATTATCGGTGGTATAAATAGCAGGCCTATATTTGTGTGGATTAGGCCTGTGGGTTGATTAGTGCCACCATGTGTATGCGTGCAAACTTTCTTTGATGCACATGCCTGAATGCATGAGGTATCTGCACACCATACCTACAATTCAATTTCAACATACCTACAACACACTCACTAAAAACTCCCAACACCACCCCACCAAAACTCAATTCTTTATCATATTTCGTGTCTACTGTTTAGGATTACTTAAGGTGTGTAATTTTTGGGGTTGGAGATGGAGCTTAAGTCTGGCGAACATAGAAGCAGTACTAATCTTCGTATTCTAGGGGGCTTCGAATGTTTTATTATTAAATGTCTATAGACATATAGTCATGGTGTACGAGATTCGTGCAAGAAAGCATGTGTCATGCTAGATATAAGAAAATATTAGTTGCAACAGATTGGTTAACAATTTAATAAATTATCATTTCTATCACATATACATGTTTCTAATCACTAATCAAACAATGGTTATATACATTGATACAGGAAACCAAATAAATTCTCATTACATACCTATACTGAAAAGTACAAGGTACGACAACATTCTGGGTATCACAAGATACGCCTGGAAAATATTTCATTAGTTTAGAACTAACCTAGCATTAGTTATTTACAAATATAATGTACTAAAGTACAATATTATAAAGTTTAAAGTCTTCTGACTGATTACTACAGGAGAATACATACTGTTTGGGTAGATTTTAGATTACTCACAATGTCAACTCGTGTGTTGTATTGATTCCCGGACTATAATAATACACTGGGCTAAAAGTTTCTCATCTTGGTTGGCAAGAGAGGACTTGCATAAGGTATATTCTATGGAATCCACATACACTAATCAGTTATACATTAAATAACGTTTGGGTTACTGTTCATCAAGAGAAAATTCGAAAGGTATTTTAAAGGGAAGGTTGGTGAAAGTTCAATAGTAATTTGTTCTAGTTAAATAATATAACAAACCGGAAATAGTTTATATTAAGAAAACAAATAGCATAAATGATATAGATGTAATCTTTCTTATTAAACCATATCATCGAAAATAATTTGACTACGTACAAATTGACTAAATATAACTTAGGGTTATACACTTATAGATAGATTAGTCAGGCACATAATACTGACACTGTCAGTAAAATAATTTTGATGTCAGTCAGAAATACTCAGCTGGCAACAGAACATACATTTATTTTAAAAAGATCAACTTCTGCAGTTTAAGGATGCATCTGGAAAAGTTTGTACTTGGGATTAAGACGGCTAAATAAGATTGATGAGCACGCGTATACTAGTCTCTAGACGCATACACAGGTTTAGTAAGTAAAAATGAAAACATAGTTGATAAGCCTGAAGAAAAATAAGTTATTTTTGACACTGAATACCTTTAAGCACACGCATTGTTTCATCGCCAAAATTTGCACTCAATTGCTACGGAAACCATTTTATTTGCCCTATTACATAACATATGTTTTCAGAGTCTTACAGTCGCCCCGTGTATCTAATCGAGTCAAACTCTCTTGACAAATAAATCTGATAGCATTAAAAATATAATTTAAGTCCATCACTTATAAGAAATCAGACAAACACAAACACAAAATCTATAGTAGACTATTCATAATATCTATTAATGGAGTGAGGAAAGAAATATAAGACAAAATCCTGATATAGTGCCACTTTTCGCAATTAGAAAATATTTGTTAATTAGTGATCCATTTAATGTATAATCACACACGCTATTGTTATGTATCAAGAAAGGCATGACATGATCATGCTTCCGTTACATGTACGAAAATTCTTTACCTCAACATTTTGTTTGCTTTGCCAAACTAATGTACTGTGATTATATTTACAGCTTAGTACAGCTAATTAATTTTAACTATATATAACGTGTTGTATCACAGATAAAACATAAAATATATCTCAGTTTGACCCTACTCCTGTGCTTATAAAAGAAGTCAGAAGAATAAAACACTGGAATAAGAAAGATTCTAGGTGCGTCAAAGGTAGAACGAGTCTTTCATATCTAACCCTTGAACATGCAACCCGATTTCGTTTGTAAACGATAACCAACCTATTTAGATTCTTGATTTTTGATAACGATTGGCTTACATTCATCCATCCACATTCAATTGGTGGATGATCATAATGATCGACTGTACTGATGGGAATATCGACTTTCGGGATCAACTTTAATATGTTGAAGACTCGAACTACTTTTGGTACATCAAGATGACAAATAAAGCTTCTTCTCCTAGCACTATGTAGTGTGAAACCATTTGTCACACAAACAAATAGAAATTCTTAAGATCTTCAACATATCACATGTTAATAAAATCATTTAGTTTTAATTCAAGCACTAATATACGAGCTCATATTACACAATTATAATCAAGGTAATAAAGGGGAAACGATTATGTTATCAAATGTATGAAAGGGATATAGTTCTTTAACTATTTCCCTTACAATACACACACCTATACCTATAGAAGTACCGATAGATAATTATTTCCTTTTACACACTACATTTTATCTTGCTTAAATACTGAGAAAATATAACATATATCAGCATTTTATTATCATCGTCATTCAATGAGACTCAAGTTATAATTGAATATTCTTATGTACATACTATTATCACAATGCAATGTAGGTTGTTTGTAAGATTTGTTCATATAATTTGATTCCGACCGTTCAGTTTGCTTGTTTATCAATATTCATGATTTTAGTACTCCTGAGGAGATAAATTCTGAAAACAAACCAAAAGGAAAGCTTTCTAGAAGAAGTAATAATAACGTGAAATCATAGCACTTTGTCTTATATACGGAGGCCCCATAAAATTTCAGTAATTGTAGTATCAAAATTCATATCCAAAAAAACAATATATATTTTTGTAGTACATGGATGATACTTTTCTTTTCTGGCTTATTAAGCAGAGTTGACAATTGTCTACAAAAGCACTATAGAAACACAAACCAATTTGCAAATAAGTAATGTTATATTGTATGTAAGCCTTCAACTGTTTACACACATTCTAAAACACACAAATAGTGTATATTATGTGTACATAAATTCTCATAAAAAATGCATCCAATAACTATCGTTTTCCATCGGAATAGTTTTTGCGAAGCACTCAAACACATAATTAGCTCCATTATTATTATCCCAATATACTTTGTCATTCACAGTGTAGGAAACTGCAAATTCCAAGGTTGATCCAACCCCCAATTCCATTGGAGCGACAATACTGAATGAAAAGCGATCAGTTGCACCATCACAAGAATTGATTACGTAAGATGCGGCAATGTCATGAAAAGATATCCATTTATTTGTGGAGAATCGTATACGCACAGCTTTGTGGAACCCAATATTGGCAACCCTAACAACCCCCGTTATAGTCATATCCGTTATCACAGCGTTTTCGAGACATATTTTCTGAGCTATTACACGTTGTGTAAACTTTCCGTCAGCACCAGGCTGACTGAACCGGGGAGTTAAAAATCTAGTTCCAACATTAGGACGGTCATCCTCTATTCCCACACGTAGGTCTTTCATCGCAGATGCAGGGATCTTAGGTGGTACTTCCAAATTCAAAATATGCCGAACATCTTCGAGATCCAACCCCATTGCATCTGCAAATCTAACAGCCTTTTTACGCCGAGGCGTTCCAGGAGGAGTTTTATTTGTTTTGAGTGAAGACGATTTGCGAAGTTCCGACTTGCAAAAATTAAATTCTGATTCTTCGTACACTGGACTGTCCGATAGTATATCGTATATAGATTGTCTTGAACCAGTTTTATTCGCAGCAAGAGGTTCATCATTAATTTGAATTTTCAATTCCGAAGTTGGAAGCATGTTGACGGATACTTTCTTCACGGCATCCTCAAGACTAACGGAATGACCTTCAGAGGACATGTCAAGGTCAGCATTTCCTTCATCTGGACTGAACATGGAGTCGGCAGAAACATTAACAGTGCTGTCACCGAGTGAATCGTCGGGAGAATCTAAATCATCAGACATATTCACATAAATACCTTCCTCTGAATCCAACGAATCGGAAATTTGTCTGTGATAAACAACACTGCTACATCCTGCACCGGTATCGTTTACTTCACAATCGGCAGGTGAAGTCGGATCCGAATTCGATTCTATGTTCGACATCATTGGAGTATTTTCATCGACCTTTTGTCGAAGCATAATCTTTTTATCAATTTTCAACCTATTCACATAATCAGCACTGATGCTAAAGTAATCCCGTAAACTATCTTGAGTATAAGAGAGATTTCTTGGCAGCAATACTCGAATGTTTTTGCATGCCGCCACGCACCAATCCATAATAATTATACGGTACTGTTATTCCAATAGTTTCACTAGTTCTACAACCGTAAATATTGAACAGTGGTTTCATAATCAAGTATTTAGTGAACTGCGGTAAGTATCCAATTGAACAATAATCACATCCCCATAGTCCATCCAGCCTTATAAACGCTATAAATTTAAATAGTGATTATCACCCCCTACTATAACGTTTATTAGCGTTGTGAGCGACCACTGACTTTATATACTACATTTGACATTCACCTTGTATGTTGATTGACCCGATGTCTCAAGGTCGTTTATACGGTCAAAGCCAAAAAGGCTTTGGATTTATCTTCCGCTGGTAAATAATTGTAATAATCTCCTTTTCGTTTAGATAGCTCCAGTACCCAAGTAGAAAATTACTCACCACGCGGAAAGAAGGTGTTTCTTGGTTACACTTGATATAATAACAAGAGAATATTATGTAGAGGATTCCCTTTAACTATGTCAATTATGACGTCAAAGCGTGAGTAGTTAGGGGTTTCCCGAACATTCTTCTTGATCATCCAGTAACTAGAATTCTTTTTTCAATGAAATAATGACATTAAATTATTTCAAGGCTTCAAAAATTTATCCTACTGTAGATTATTATATGATGCATATTATAATCATATAAGATCGATATTCATGAAAAGCTAGGTTCTCACGAGCTGTTACATTAATATTTCGTCTGGTAGATGTGGACTACAGAGAAAAATCCCGATTGATCACGAACTACGGTTAGTTAACTTTGTATAGTTGATAATGCTGTACAAGAAAGAATTTTAATATTTAAAAAAATTCAGTCTACATCTTTACCAATAATGAATGAAACCTTATTTATACACAGTTCTGTGTCCCTTCTTTGTTCCAAACCGATTGAGCAACGGTCGGTCATTTCCCTCCTTGTTTGAAGTAGAGAGCGTGTTTTGTAATTTAGAAGCTTTCATAATCATAATATTCCTTTAATTAATGTTGTTCAGTTAATATTCATTTTCACTGGTCACATAATTTTTTTTTCAATCAATGGATAAAAAGCTTAGAACATAAATAAAAAACAATGTCACAGTTAAAGGTCATTCATACCGAAGGAAAGTAGGCTAAACTACCTTATCAACTTCATCGTGAATTCCACATGCACATTTATGCACGTAGACAGAGTACAAACCTTTTTTTTTATTCCATGCTGGAAAGATACACATTTTTTTCATACTTTCGGCTTATTCAGGTTTCAATTTCGATGAATACTAAAATCCATCATCGTAAACCCAAGGCTAGCGTAATTCTATGGTACTACCTATTGGCAAAGGGTCATAGGTAACCGTTTCCGCAACTAGACGATAGATCTAGATACGATTGATATTTGTCTCTCTTTGCCTGTCGACTCTGAATTACTTAACCCCCTTGAATATTTTCAGCAGCAGTGGGTTACTTCATGCCCATACCTTCAGACTTTCTCCGAAATGTACTCAATGTGCTACAAGTTAGCTTTTGCTAAGTACGGTCTGTACACGTTCTCTCGGCAGGTGAAAAAAAGAGTAGACTAATGCCATCGTAAATATAAACTTTTAGGCCTACTCCAGAGTTACTATAATAGGCCTATGCATTATCTGAATCATGAATCGAATAGATATTTCTTCATGGTAAGGTAACTTAGGAGTCCATTACTCTCAAACACAACTTAGGATAGGCTTACTCTGCAACGTTTGTTAACGTTCAATAGGCCGAACACTCGAGTGTCCGAGCCAGTGATAGGTCTAATGGTTTTGACTGGCACAAGCCGAGCTTGGCCCCAAAGGCCCTGGTTTGAGTGGTTTGCACTCCAGGAAAGTTTTTAAGGTCTACACTCAGAGGGTCTTTAACTCTTTATTGATCACGATTTATATACAACGTTCGCAAGATCTCGAAATAATACCTACCTAAAACCGTCTGAAAAATATCTCGATGATGTAATACGTATTTTCAACACAAAATCGAGACAGCGTACTGGTTTAATAATGAAAGTGGCGGGAAAATGAGAATGATAATGCGCATGCCAATAAAGAGAAACAGACCACAACTCCTACAGGTCTCCTGGAAAACAACATATTATAAATTTTAAGAAAACTAGACCCTACTATAACTTGAATTGGGCAACAAGAAAAAAATGTCAAATTTTCCATGGTCAATCATCCAATTGTAGACATCTAATTCCATTAGACTTAAGAAAAAAGCGGGGGAAAACACTGATATATAAAAGCATCCGACTTTTTATTTCAGATATATCCATTTCTCAACTCTTCCATCTGGATTAATACATTGGGATGGGTGATAATATTTGACTCTCCTTTGTACATGTCTGACAAGGCATGGGATATGTTCTAGGGTTTCATAACAAAAGTTTTGAATATTCATGAGAGAAAATCATATGATAATTGACATTTCAATAAGTATTTCAAGTGATTCTAAAATGCCATGTGTTATTGCATATTTACACACCAAAATGAATTTTTAAGATGTTGAATATTTAAATCATAATGTACTTATACATAATAAAATTTACAACTATTCATATTCATAACACATAATTATCATAACTATACCATTTACACATTATAGAAGATAAATACTGCCAAAATCCATCATTCACTGTTATATTTTGTCAAACAATTACATTCAAATTTCATCATTATAAAAAGCAAAGAGAGTTTTCCAAAAATTAAAAAAAAATTCCTATTCAATAATAATTGTCTCTGACCAGTGTCTCAAAAAACAAAGATGATTTTAAGAAATAAAGTAATTTGATTGGTTGATAAAACTATATTTTAAATGAATAAAGTTGACTAAACGCAAAAAATATCTTGAAGTTAGTTTTCCTGAATCTGAAAATTTAAGACAAGACAAATTATAGACTATTTTTACATTGTCTTGACCATTTCAAAAGGAATTAGTTTTGTCTCAACCATGAAATGCATAGTAAGCCAGTTGGGATTTTGATCAAATTTGCCTTCCATATTAATCTATTTAGCTTTATCCCTGAAAAGTGTATAAAAAAAGTAAACAAAAATCTCGTGTAATTAGTCCTTACAGCAAATATAAATGTGTTTTCTTTAGCAGATCTTACAAAGTCTCTTAAAAAAGTAGTTCGTAAGTGGAAAAGTAAGCCGTAAATATTCATTTTGGTTTGCTCTTCCATCAACTGCCACACATACTTGTACCTTCTTTGGCTTTACATACGTTCCATATCCTTGCAATACCTACACTACTTAAAGAATTATCACTGAAATTCGACACAGTCTGAACACACTTATAATGGCAGTATCAAAATCTCTTTATCTTTCTATAACAAGTTTTCCTTTACCATATAATTTTTCTACAAGAACCTAGAAAAAAAAAGAACTTTCAGAAAGGAGATATAAGAGAAATTTGGGAGGGAATACATCAGACTGATATGATGGATGTTTGTCAGTTTTTAAACAAATAAGTCATAAAATCACATGAAAACCTAAAGGTTTTTGTATGTCGTGAGCAAGAAATATTAATAATTGCCATTTTGAGGAAAAATCAAATTTCAAAAATTTACATTTTTATGAACTAGTGTTTCAGGTTGCTTTATCAAGCCTGTTGTCTTTCTCCTTTTCAGACATCTGCAATATTATGGCTTTAACAAAGTTACCTGCTTGATAAAAACAGATGGATACTTATATAGTCGTAACTTTTGAAAAATTTTTTTTTAATAATTGACAAGCAAAATAAATTTATCGCTTACTTTTGAATATGCTTAGTCATTGAGGCATGTATTGAGACTAGTTAAAGTGTGAAATTATTCAACAATAAATAAGGCTGAGAAAAAGTTAATAACAAAACTATTATCAAAGATTTACCATGAATAATACACAAATAATGTATATTCAATCGGACAGATTTTCTGGTAAAGTGCCAGGAACACTATCACAAAAATAGGCTTGTTACAATGACAGTTAAACCTTTCATATGGTTATTGATTGATAGATATATATCATTTAATCTTAAATCCTGGTCTATATTACTAAATTATTAAAATGTTCCATGTGTTCTTCATTAAAGGGTTGTACTCATAAAAGGAAATATACTCATCTAATTATTTACTGAATATTAGAAATTCATATCGATTCAAACCCTATCTCCAGTTATCCTTCAATTTAAATAAAATATACTAATTTTGGACATTGTTCCCATTATACATGTCATTTTAATGCCATAAATTCAAATTTGACAGATCTACCTGACAAGACAACTTTAAGTTTATTTCCCGTATAGATAAATCATACATTGCGATATATTGGCTAATATTTATCTATCATTGCATCATCATGTGTATTTTAAATGTAATACATCATCATGTTAAGCCTGACTTTATTTTTTCCTATCTAAACTGAATGAAACTCTGAAATCAATTTACTTCATCTGTACAACACTTGTTTCAAATACGTTGCCAATAACCTTACAAAATAACAAGTGGGCTTAACACATTAACAAAAGAACAAATAAATCGTAAACTCTCTAGTCATAAAAAGTTTTTCTCAAGTTGAATGATGAAACTAAAGAAGTTATTTTGAAATAGTTTTAAGAGATTGTTTCAATATGTTAATGTATAAAAATAGATTACATATATATTGCCTTACTTATTGCATCATATCTTTCTATCATCATTGAAAAAAGCTCTCTATAAGTGAATGTTTAAGATAGATAACAATGATCTTTTTCAAACTAAACAAAATTCTACAAGATTCAGTTGAAAGAATATCACATACTTAATTTTTTATTTCACTATTTTATAAGGTGTATTTTCCTATACAAGGAAAGATCACAGGTAGAGTCTACGATATCAAAATAAATTAAAAAGAATATGTTTACTAAAAAAAGGTGGCTGGAAATTTGCGGACGTAAACATACAATAGAATAAAGAATCATATCCCTTCAAGTACTAAGTAAAATAATGATATGAAGTAAGAAATAAAAAAAAGTTTTTTAAATATTTTTTGGTTGATTCTTTTTTCAACTCAAGTAGCTTGAACTTAAATTATGATGATGCAACAAGTCTAACTATCTTATACAAGAACAATAGGCCCCCATCCTCTTAAGTGAGAGGGCATTTCAATGGTCAGTTGTTTTAATCAAAAAGAAATGTCATGACTTAATCATCAGAGGTTTTCCCTAGAATTCAACATGTGAACGTACATCCATGTAATACACAAGGCTTTTCTGAAAAGGGTTGCAACTCCTTTCACTCCATTTCTGAAATAGCCAGGGTCCTTGTCTGATTATATGAGATCTATAGATGTGTACTACAGACAACTGATAGTCAGATACACCAATAAGAGCAAGCAGTAGGTAAGACATGCATAATGTGGCCTACAGATATAGCCTACTCATTTTTATAGTAACATTCGTTTTTTATTGCTTAGACTAAAAGCGTTTCAATTTAAGTATCAACAATCGACATCAATTAAGATGTACCTGTACTATGTTGGCATATAGAAACATACTGACCTGTCTCTTGAGAATTTCTAAATTTGTTTGTGACTTTTGGATCAATTTCTCAATGGTTTGAGGATCGGAAACTGATTTGTTTTCTTTAAAAGCATCTCGAACTCTTCTTTGAGCATAAAATCTATAAAAAAAAATTCATTAACAATCATACTAATTGTAGTTTTATTATGTAAAGTAAATTTCATTCAGAAAGTCTGTTTGCCACTCGTCAGTGATCTCTAACTGTCTAGGCCTAGGGCCAACATATTCATTGAAATTCTAGTTTAATATTTGAATGAATGACAAAATTCTGAGGTCAAAACATGTGAGCATCCATTTTAAGAGACTTTTTTTTCAAGAAGAAACGTGTTTCCAGGCCTCAGACCATGGATGATGCCATGCAGTGTGCAATGAGGGAAAATGTAACGCTGTTACAACCGGATAGGTCGACTACTACTAGTAATTCTTTTTAAATAAAATCACAAATGAGATCGTACCTAAAATTGTAATCAGATAACTGTTTGCCTTCTCTGAGTAATTTTCGGTACAACTCGAGAACTTTTGATCTTGTGGAGGCTGACATCTTTGTTTTCTTATTAGATTGTCCAGTGACATTTCAGTACATTCCGTATTTGACTTTGTTTGACAATCAAGACTATATAGTTGACGTTTTCTATCTTTAATTTTAAAGATTCAATTACGACAATCGGAAACAAATAGTTTTGATCAACCAGACTGAAACAAATACTTGCCAAAATATTTGTATGAAAATCGAGACTAATGCTACCGTAAGTTAGTTTCTCACTTTGTTAACGACAATCGACCAATGTCGCATGAAATTTCTGATAAAATACACCAATCTTCAAAATGATTTTAAGGTTAGAATGATAGGGTAATTCTGTAATATTCTGTACCTACATTGCATTAAGAATCTGGTTAGGTATATAATAAATAAATTGGGTTGTTTTGTAATGTCATTGCAAACATAATAGTCTGGATTGATCTTATCCGATAAGATATACTTTCATTAATGCCAAGACCACACGGACTCGAACACCACACAGAATTAACAACAATATCCTACATTAGGCCTACCTTTGTGAGCTATTTGTCGAATTTTGAAATATAAATGTAGACATGAACCTACTCTATATTTAAAGTGAATGTCTGTGTGGCTTTTATTAAAGCTTGAATTTCATGGCATACCAATCCTTAACCTTGTAGGCCTATTTGTTAAAGCTACACTTTAAAGTAAGGCTTGCTCACACTTCTATGAGACTTCAGTTAATGCCATTTTGGGATTAGTAGTCAACTTGACACACCTTTCGAAATTGCTTTAATGAGATAAATTATAAGCTTCAATAGCCTATGTGAATTAATCAAACACATTTTAAGAAATGTTATTAAGCTATACTTCATATTTTTTTCAGACATGTTAGATGTCTCATTCAAGAAATAAGTTTCCATCCCCGACAGTATTTATGTCAAACCAGATGTTGGTCTACCAAAGTAAAAGGAGCGTCACAGTTTGGCGACTCCATCAAAATTTTAGATGAAATTTACCCAACTGATATGTACACAAATGTTACACCCAGAATTCTCTCCAAACTGGACCAAAAAATACATACCAGAAAGGGCAATCCTTTAAACTTAATCAGGAAAATGCTGGAGGCCTTTTTCTACAAAAACTATGTCCGACGACGTGGGAATCCTATATTTTCAGTTTATCCAAACATCAGTCCAGTTGTCACATTGGAACAGAATTTTGACCAGTTACTTGTGCCTAAAGACCATGTGAGTCGATCTCCCTCCGACAGTTATTATATCAACAATAATTATATGTTAAGAGCTCACACGTCTGCTCATCAAAGGGACTTAATCCGATCTGGTTTAGATGCATTCCTAGTGATAGGAGATGTGTACAGAAGAGATGCTATAGATGCTACCCATTACCCTGTATTTCACCAGGCAGAAGGTGTTCGTTTATTTACACACAGTGAGGTAAGCTAATAATAATATTAAATATTTAGATGGGATTTCTTCATAGCATGAATCTTGAGAAAAGGTTCTCAAATTTTACACTGTAATTGGTATTTATGCATTGAAAGCAAGACAAAATATTATGTTTGTTTAAGGAGTTCTCTTTCTTTGCTAGTTACCTTCATGAGAATAAAATATCCAAAGCAAGATGAGTATGATCATTTTAAAAAAAAATAGTGTTGGTTTGTTGTTAAATGTTCTTTTTTCAGTTATTTGCTGGAACAGGTGATCCCAGTGGGTTCCAGATGTTTGAGAAAGGGATAAGAGCCTGGGACAAACAAGAAACTCTCACATTTGATGCTTCACAGCTGGTTGAAATAAATCTACAAAGGACAATTCAAGACTTAGCCAGGTTTATTTTTGGAAGAGGTATTATTTTCTATTTCATATTCTGTTCAAATTTTATGAAGTCAAAAATGATATGCTATTGTTCCTAAACAACAAACTTATCAAATTAATGTGTTTTTTTTTTAAAGCATCACAAGTAGCTAATTTGTTAGCATGTTCCACTTCTAACTGTCACTGTCATTCTTTTCATCTTGATTGATCCAACACAGCTATTGGACTTCCTTTATATCCACCTGATTTTGTCAGAAGTAAGACTTTACTGTATTTGGATATTTAATGTGGTTATGTTTATATTTTAGATGTAGAATATCGTTGGGTTGAAGCATATTTTCCATTTACACATCCATCCTGGGAATTGGAAGTAAAGTTTAATGGAGAATGGTTGGAGTTGTTAGGTTGTGGTATTATAGAACAGAATATTTTAGATAGAGGTAATATAGAGATTAGTATTATTTAAATGACATAGATTCAGTGAAATAATTATCTTCTATTATAACTAATCTATATGAGTATATCATAGAATTCTCTGACACTTCAAAGTAAATTATAATTTCAGCTTGGATTTCTCAGCTAATGCTATAATACTTAAAGTTTAGAAAGTATGCACTACAATATTACATAGTGTTAATATCAAGACATGAACAAAATAATGATATAACTTATTAAGATATCATGATCTAACTTTTGATATCAAAAATAAATTCTAAATTAAATACAAATTGAAAAAAACGCTTGAAATATTGGTGAAAGAAGTTGATCGAATCAAAATTAAAAAGTATACCACCTCTTAGGATGATGAAAAAATTGAAATATCTTAATTTACCAAAATGTAAGTCCATCTGAGATGAAATCATTATGTGATCTTCGATACATTGAAAAAATTTCAAGATACTTTTTTGAAAAAAATAAAATAAAATGCCTTTTCATACCTAGAAACTGAGATATTCTCTGTTTCAACCTTCATAAAGTCTTAAACACAACATCTTTTTCAGAAAATAGAGATCTGAAATGTTGTGTATATTTGTTGAGTGATATAAGGTAATGATTTCCAAAAGATGAAGGGAAACAGTAGTAATTCTCAGCCATGGGTTTCAAAAATTGTGTGACATTATTGAATGTTTTAAGAGATAAGAGTATGGGACCAATGCTTTGGGATAATACAATTTTTGATAATGTACAATGCGGAAAAACATTTAGTTGTAGCAGAGCGGGTGTGGCTAGGGGTAGATTAGCATGCCAACTGTCAAAAAGCCTAATTAACTCATTACGTAGGTGTATGAGTATGTGAAAAAAATTCAACTCTACTGCACCTGTTAATATGTACACTTTTTTAATCGTAAAATTTAAATAAAACAAGTACATCTTTTACAAACAAGCAGATCTTATTGAAACGGTACACAATATGTAGAACAAGCCACCTTCTGAGTAATGGAACATGTTCAAATGTTACAAAACACAAAGATGTACAACTAGATAAACCAAACAAGTACTTCTATATATATCTAGTAAATAAATTAGGCTTAAAAGTTATATAATACTTTGCAAACCAGGTTTAAGCAAAATCTTTATGTCAAGTAACTGATATTATGAAGTGTTGTGTGATTTATTCATTATTTTTCCAGCTGGTGCTGGTGATAAGGTGGGCTGGGCGTTTGGTATTGGATTAGAAAGACTAGCTATGAAGTTATTTTCTATACCTGATATCAGATTATTCTGGAGTACAGATCCTGGTTTTACATGTCAGTTTAAAGTTGATGATCCTTCCAAACAGATCACTTATAAGGTTTGTTACTCTTGAATTAATTAAGAAAATTTGGATTTATCAACAAGTATGAAAAATTGTAGAAATTCAGAAAAAAACAAATGGTATTTCTTTTTGCAAATACAGCTGAATTATAGTTTTTTGCAAAGAGAATTATTCTTTTACTCAATTTTATACGCCCACATGAAATGGGGGGCATATATTGGTGTCACCAATGTCTGTCTGTCATTTGAGGAGTGGGCGTATAGTACCTTAAATGGTAAGGTATCTTTAAGTCTATATATGACAATTACTCACGATTTGATGATAGGCTATAGCAATTATGAAGGGGTAGCCTGTTACTCTGGAAATGTTTTTTGTTTCTTTGGCATTGCATGCAGATTTTACATCGCAGTTTCCCTCAATCAGGCAGGATAGAGGGTTGTTTGAATGGGTAAAAAATAAAATGCCCAATGTACTTCAGAGAATCCAAGAATAGGCTAATGCCACTGTTTTGGCAAAATTCCCATCATTACAATCTGAAATGTGGCTAATTGAACTCCACTTGATTTTATTGTAAAAGGTTAAAATCTTTCTATTGCTCTATTTTCAGCCTATAAGTCAACATCCACACTGTGTTAATGATATCTCCTTTTGGATTCCTGAGCATTTTCATCCCAATGATTTTTATGACATGGTGAGAGATATTGGTGGTGATTTAGTTGAACAAGTCAAACAGTTAGAAGAGTATGAGAATCCCAAAACGAAGCGAAAAAGTCATTGTTATCGTATAATGTATAGACATATGGAAAGAAATTTAAGTCAATCAGAAGTGAATAAAATTCATTCAGAAATAGAAGAGCAGTCCAAAAAACAACTAGGTGTTGAAGTTCGCTAAAGAAATTAGTGATAAAAAGTGCTGTTTAATACCAAAGAAAAATTTGTTTCTTAAAAGTGCATCTTTGATGACATGATTCTTTTCCATGACACCATGTTATCAAAGAATATATCTTGGCCTATCACTGACTTATTTTGTCTCAAAATTTATTCTTATTTTACTCTGAAGCAGCTTAAACCAGAACTGTCCAAAATATGGATTATATATCAAATTATAGAAGGATTCTGTTATGTACCGGTATATATTTTGATACCATGTTAGTCCACTGATGAATGAAGTTTGGACAAATTTTATCTGCATTCTTAGAGGCAAAATTCATTAGAGCTATCTAATTTGGATGCTTTTTTGTAATAAATTCTATATTATTATTGGCACCTATGACACATTATTGTGCTTATTGGTATCTATGACACATTACATCATCATGTTTAATTCATATCTAACAAAGGTTTTGTTTTAATTGACTGTGTTCACTTATATAGAATTGTGTCTAGTTGCTAATATATATATATTGATATATTTTAAAATATGTACATGTATATATGAACAAAGGTATTTTGTGCTAATTTGGAGAAAATACATAGTAATAGAAGCTATACAGATTAGACTTATATTATTTTGGTACAACTAAAAGGGACAGGATTGTCATCTGTTTGAACAATGTACCTTCTTCTCAGAAACAGGATTTTTTTAGCTTAGCTATTTAGTAATACCTTTCACTGCTCTCTGTCAAAATTTGAGCTTTGAAATCCATGTTTGTCCAGAATTATTCGCGTTAGTTAAAACTTGTTTTTTCTTGAGACTCTGCAAGCAATATACAGAAACGACATATGAGATGTTTTTGAAGGAATTATGTGATTTGTGTTCATTTCTAGTACTTTTGAAGACTATTATATATATTTGCAAATCAACCCCCAAAAATGGCCAACTGAACTGTTAATGTTTATGTCTTGTATTGAGCCCAAATGTGCGAAAATATCTTTTCCAGATATATTTAAATTATAAAATAATATATAGAATACATGGTATATTTTGTTGGTTTTATCAAGTGCTACAAATAATAGCTCATTTGTTGTTAGATTTGAAAGTTAAAATAAAAATTTCAAACATCCTGAAATATTATGTGTACTGTTAGTGATGCAGTTTCTAGGTAGACAGAATTCAAAATGGTTGAGAAAGGAAAATATGGGGATAATCTGATTCCACACTATTTGATTGAGGACAGAATGTGAACCTGTTCAGATCTCACCAACTGATCACCACCAAACACACACCCCAGCATAACATCATCTAAAGACAAAACACAGTTGATCATTTTCCCAAAGACATTTATTTGGCTTCATGGAGATTAGCACTACTAGTGATTAGGGTTAATCATATTTAACAATTTAAAAAAAATCATAATAATACTGCCAAAAATACTTCACATAACATATACACTTATACAAATATACACTACTAATGATTAGTTCTATTATATCAAAAATTACCATATAAACGTACATGTAATTACATATACATTAAAACTTGAATCATATTTTGACTTAAACTGTTGAAATTCTATATTAAATGTGCTGAAATAATCTTTTTCATTTTAAAAATTTATGGAGATTTTGAATAATTTGAGGGGACATAAATTTGTAGATTTAAATTACTATATTATTCTTGGTCTATTAAATAGCTGGATTTTTGACTCATACCTATGGATTCCTTGAAAATGGAGCTTAAACAAATAATAATGATTTCACATTAAACACTGTCTTTTGCTTTGTAAAAAAACAAATTCAGCTTTATAAAGATATTTTGATCTCATCAACACACATGTAAATACTTCGTTTGTAACCAGTACAAGTGTTTAATATGTACCATGTACACAATCGTATAATTTAAAAAATCCTAATAAACAAGATGAAATCAAGTTTTGAATATTTGTTCAAATGATAATATTCTTCTTGCACTTGAAAATTGCTCTTTGCTCTTTAAATCTATAATATTTACGTAGAACAAAAAGTTAAGCGGCACTAACTTTAATTCAGTATATTCTGGGACGCCGCGTACATCATAAAGACCCTTCTGTGCACACTGTAACATAGTTGGATGCAGCATTGCATCAGGAGTGGCAGTAAATTTCTCAACAGGACATTCAAAGACTAATGAAAATCATACTTTGCATTTGGGTTATAAAGACAATATAACGTACGATCATCGACTTCCTGTTGTTGATTTTTTCACGAATACATATTGTTTTCAACATTAGGTCCCAATAAATACATCTCTGTATTCATTTGCTAAACAATGGTTCAAAATCTGGTGGCGCTTAACTTTTTGTTCTAGGTATATATTAATTTCACAAAATCAAGTTCTAATTTTTAAGAATTGACATTTATAAGCCATTCAAATTGGCATGGTCATTTCCAAGACATTCTCACAGGCAATGAACGAAAGTATAATGATACAGGTTATGCACCCTGTCTACTCTCTGCTAAATCATGAGAAAACCTTATGCCAAATTTAAATTTGAAAAGTGATAAGAATAGTTAAAATCTAATTGTATCATTGGTAATGTTCACAAGGTTACTACATTGCAGTTGATCTCTACCTTTTTCACAAGGATTTTTCAAAACACAGATAGAAAACAGAATGTTCTTGTAAATTGATACGCTTCAAAAAATACACCAAAGGGGAATAAATAAAACTGACAAACTCTGTCTTTCACATGTAGATAATAATTGATGGCAATTTCAGTTTTTATCTTCATTAAAGACAACCATTTAAAGGCATTTATAAGTAGGCCTATAATATTTTTAAAGATACTATTAGTGAATAATAAAACAGTATAAAAATAATAGTATATTATTATGTCTTGAAGAAACACAAACAAAATTTGATTAATATGTATTAAAGTCATTATATTAAAAGACATTATACTAATGTGACCTGCCATTTTAAATTCTACTTAATATTAAAATATAGACATTTCATTTCTTAGTTACAACTAAATACATACATACATATTCTAGGTTATATTATGCCATTCTGTAGTATATATTATATGAAAGCATTTCAAAACTATCACCCTGTTCCTTAAATGCATTTTTACTCTATAGGTCCAGACAACAAAAAGAAAAGAAAAAAGAACATAAGTAAGGTGCCCTCACAACAGATACATATGGTTGTGATTAATGAGAAAGGTGATGTGTCCCAAATGCAACTCTCAACTAAGTTGCATGAGAGTTACGTCTGAAACTTAGGACTCGCTATTTTTTTTCACAACCATACGCAACTGGTGATGGCTATGGTGTGATGACCATTTTACTAACTGCAATTGGTGACAACTGTCAGTTTTTAGTCATCTGGTCCACAAAATTCAGCAGTTGATCATATACTTTTGGCCATTAGGTTCTTGATTTGACTTAGATTAACATGATTTTTGCAATCCTTTGAATAATTCCTATGATGTAGAATCATTGTTTTGAAAGTTCTGAAAGTCAGTCTTGTCCAATCTATATGGCGTTTCTAATTAAAAAAAAAACAGAACAAATTTATATTTAACAGAGCATATTTGAATGTACAATGTAAATGAAACCAACACAAAAAGGGACATTGATATATAGCAACCTCCATATAGAAATATAACAATAGACAAAACCATATGTTCATTAGAAATATATAGAATACCGTAACAATAACAAGAGAATAGGAGGGGCTAAAGATGAAAGAGGGCGGGACTATATTTGCTGTTGACCAATCACAACACAGATTGAAAAGAATTTCTTCAATGTTACATATTTGATTGTCGTCTGTAAACTTTTTGATGTCGTGTTGCCACTCTGAAATAAAAATAAGATTAATATCATTTCTTCTCTGCAACTACAAAAGCCACAATTTTGTTTTACATGTGTAAGGTAATATTAACCTCTATTACATTTAGTTTCATTTTCTATGTGTAACCCATTTCAAAGCTGAAAACAGTTTTCTTAAAATAATGTTGACTTAATAGCATTGCTGGAAAAGAAGAACTTACTTTTTCTGTCTTCTTTCTTCATGTTTTTCTAATAGTCTTTCTTCAGTAGCAGCTAACTCTGATCTAACATCATTAGCTGTTTCAGGCTGACCTGTTATTTCCATAGCTTCAATCTGGGCATTCAACATTTCAGTTCTATCACGTAATGCTTGAATAGATGCATAGACCTCTCCTTCCTCTTCCTATATAATATATAAAATGAGATTTAGAAAGGGGTATTATATCTTGTCTAGCCACGGTAATCCATTTTATGTGGGTGTATAATAAAATGAGATTTAGAAAGGAGTATTACATATTATCTAGCCAAGGTAAACCATTTTATGGAGGGCGTATTAAAACTACTATTAATTAATTTGTTTATAATTTGCTGTAGAATTATAGTCCATTTAGCATTGCTTTTCACAGTAAGAAGAAAGAAATAAAGAGGTATGTCTAACCTGTGGATTTCTAACATCAATATTTACAAGTAAGGCAGCTAATTCTAACTCTTCACTATAACCATTTAATAAAGGAACACTTCGGTAACCTATAAAATAACAATATCAAATCGCTTTCTATTTGAAAATAAACCATAGAAAGTTTACAAAAATTTCCCAAGCCAAAAAGGCTAGTAAAAAAAATTAAAAACCTCAATATAGAAAGAAAACTTACCTGGTCTTATTCTGGATACAGGAAAGACAGCTTGACCTAAGAAATTAGGTTCACCAAATAAATCTTCATCTTGTATAACAAACCTCAATATAGCTAACTCTGGACATAGTATATCTAATACACAACATTCATTCCATACTGGGTTTAATCCATTATCAACTATTAATAAAATAGAGCAGATTTTTACTGACTTTGAATCAAGCATAGAGTGTATTTCTTCTCAAAAATAACCTTGAATTAATTTAGTTTTGTCGTTTTCCCAATTCAAGATGTTGTGTTGTCCGTCAAATAGAGCCAAATAATTAACACGACTGTAGAATCCACA